TACTTGAGTTCTTTGAGGAAGCTACAAGTGAAATTGATCACAAAAAGGCCTACGATTTGATCTACTTAGATTTCCAGAAGGCCTTTGATTCCCCGAATGGAATTGACCGCGGCTACCGTTGCCGTTAAGATAGATGGCGTCCTGAGAAGAGAGCTACAATTGGATCTTGCAGAATCAATTTTTTGGACTGACAGTACGGTGGTACTCTGGTATCTCCAGAACAAGACCACACGTTTCCGCACATTTGTGGCAAACGGAGTTTCAGCTATTCTGAAGAGCTCTGATGTGGATCAGTGGAGACATGTCAGCACAGACAAGAATCTGACTGACTGCACCTCTAGAGGGCAAAGAGTGGATGAATTCATGAAGAACACTGCTTGGGTAGCTGGACCTGATTTTCTCTGCAGTCCTGTAGAGTGTTGGCCCAGTACTCCATTGAGCCACATGCAAATCACTTCAGATGACTGGTCAACTACTACTCATCGTGGATTAAGTTAAAAAGAACTGTGGCGTGGTTCCAGAAACTTAAAGCCTTATGGAGTCTCTGTCAAAAATGCAAAGAGCTGTGTGCAGCCAATGCGGAGAACAGCTTAGATCATGGTCAACATCTGATCCAAAGTCAGATTGACAGTTTCAAGGCGAGCTTTAGGCATACACAACTTGCAGTGGAAGAACTGGATCAAGCAGAACGTGACATAATCAAATTCTGTCAAAGGGAGAAATTCTCAGTAGAGATTTCAGCTTTACACAAGGGGCAGAATATGAAACATAGTAGTCACTTGTACAAGCTGAACCCTGTACTTCAGGATGATCTGTTGCTCCGTTGGTGAGTTGGTGGGAGACTGAGTCGGGTAGCTATGCCAGAAAGTAGCAAGCAGTCTGTCATCTTGTCCAGAGACTTTCACATTGCCGATTTAGTCCTCCAACAGATACATAAAGAGACTGGGCACGGAGGGTGCAATCACATGCTCACTAGATTGCGCCAGAGGATTTGGATTCCGAGCGCCAATACGGCCATCGGAAAGGTCATTGTAAAGTGTGTGACATGTCACCGCTTGCATAGAAAGGTTGGAAAACAACTAATGGCTGATCTTCCACAAGAGCGAGTGATGCCAGATGATCCACCCTTTACCCGAGTAGGTGTAGCTTATTTTGGACCATTCGAGGTGAGGCGTGGAAGAACCCTCTTGAAAAGATATGGAGTCATATTCACTTGTTTAGCCATTCGTGCAGTGCACATCGAGCTGGCCTCATCATTAGACATAGATTCGTGTATAAATGCAATTCGGCGCTTCATAGCACGGAGAGGACAAGTGAAGGAGATTTGCTCGAATAACGGGACAAATTTTGTTGCAGCCAATCGTGAGCTGAAGGCAGCCATTGCTGACTGGAACACTTCAGAGTTTCAGCATCTGTTCCACCAGCATGGAATTAAACGGACATTCAACCCTCCTGCTGCTTCGCATTACGTTGGAGCGTGGGAGAGGTTGATAAGATCAATCAGAAAGGTGCTGATTTCCACTGCAAAGGAGCAAATTCTTGATGAGGAAGGCCTTCATACAGTCTTATGTGAGGCAGAGTCGATCATCAACAGCCGACCAATAACTAAGGCATCCAGTGACCCGAATGATTTGGAGGCTCTGACACCTAATCATCTGCTGTTGCTGAAAACAACACCATTGTTGCCTCCAGGATTGTTTGACCAGGATGACTTCTATTCATGGCACAGATGGAAACAGGTGCAATATATGTCCAATTTATTCTGGAAAAGATGGACTAAAGAGTACCTACCTCAACTCCAAGAGCGCCAGCGGTGGGCCACAGCATCCAGGAACTTTGCAGAAAGTGATGTCGTTCTTCCCGTAGGTGACTGTGCGCCAAGGAATTCTTGGATTATGGGCAAGATCATCGAAGCAGTTCCAGACAAGAAGGGTCTTGTCCGCAGAGTACAGATAAAGACAAAGACTAACGTCTTGGACAGACCCATTACGAAGGTTTGTCTGCTCGTGGAATCTGACTGGGCTAGTGGTAAAGATTGAGCCCCAACGATAAGCCATGTGCTAGCAACCTCTGGCTTTCTTTGTATTTCTTTCTTTCACTCTCTTTCCTCTCTGTGTCTTTCTCTTCATTCTTTTTTTTGGATATGGACTGATAATGGACTTTACATCCTTTGAAAAGTTGAATGACAAAGCAATGGACATTTAGTGTGTTCATTAATAGCATCTTTGTCATGTGAGAAATTTGGATATTTCTTAATGTGGATACTATTCATATTGTGCATAGTTAAGAGAAATATGGTAAATGTTCTAAGATGTTTGTTATTAGAACAATTAGGGGCTGGTTATGTAGGTGCCAGATGTTTAACACTGGAATTTAAATTAGGTTTATATCTGATATTTTATATATGTTCATGATTCACATAATTCATAATTTAGCATTTATAATGTACATGGTTAAAACTTGGATTTAGTGCCATTGCACTTTAATGATGAAAATAGGTACTGCCACTTTAAGCACATAGGGGCAATGGCGGCACGTTGTGCATGGTAGTGCTTTAGCGTTAGCCACAAGACTCCTTTTTTAAATTGTTTAGGATATTTCCAAAACGAATGTTCAAGTCATTTAGGATTGTACAACAGTCTTTATTAAGAGCAATATGGGGATCCCCAACAAATGGGAAGCTACAGGAGGGCAGAGTGGCAGTGGGGGGGGTTGTGCTTATTCATGCCTCCCTGCGTGTTTCTGCAAAGGAGCCAACACAACACCTGGGTTCCTCTGCTCACTCTCAGTGGTGTAGAGGCGCCGCTCCTGGATGTAGCTCAGCACCGGGTCAGGCAGCAGGTACCGGACACTGTGGCCACGTCGCAGCGCGCGGCGGATGTGTGTAGCCGACACGTCGTTGGCCACCCATTCCCGCACCACGTGGATGTTGTGTCGGTGTGGCCAGAGTAGGTCGGAGCCCTGGATGAAGGCCTCCGGATCAGAACCACCGCGGGTGATGCACACCAGCCCGTAGCTGCTGACGATCTCCTCGATGTCCTCGGGCTTCCACAGCCCAGGCACCCCGAAGGAGTCCAGCACGTCAGCGCCACACAGGAGAATCAACCACAGCTCATCTGGGGGGGCAGCGGAACCATCAGCATTAAAGGATGCAGTTTACAGATCCCCCAGAGGGAAATCAGGTTACTTAACTGAGTGTGAGAGCAAAAGAATGAAGAATCACACCCAACTACTCCATTTCTGGGCAGGAAAAGTAAACAAATATCCAAATTCCATCTTTGCAAACCACTAATCCCCACCCTAAAGTCATGGTGTGGGTGGGGGGACCTATTTCAGGCAGCAGAGGGCACAAAGAAGGGCATATCCAGGATGGGATGCCAGGATAAGTGGGTAGAAGATGGATAGAAGGGTGGATGGATGTTGTATGTCTCTTCAGATGTTGTGATAATTTCGACACCATCGAGGAGAGTAGCATAATACACTAATAAGGCAAGGGGACTGTGTAAGAAGAAGCTTTGATTGGTACCTGTTTTTTAAGGTGGCTCCCTGGGTGCAATCGCTGCCTCCTCGAGCTTGCTCCTCTTGGTGGAGCAATATGGGGATCCCAAACAAATGGGACGATAGAAATGGCCAGGTGACGAGGCTACAGGAGGGCAGAGTGGCAGTGGGGGGGTTGTGCTTATTCATGCTTCCCTGCGTTTTTCTGCAGAGGAGCCAGCACAACACCTGGGTTCCTCTGCTCACTCTGTGGTGTAGAGGCCCCGCTCCTGAATGTAGCCAAGCACCGGATCAGGCAGCAGGTACCGGACACTGTGGCCACGCCGCAGCGCGCGGCGGATGTGAGTGGCCGACACGTCGTTGGCCACCCACTCCCGCACCACGTGGATATTGTGGCGGTGTGGCCAGAGGAGGTCGGAGCCCTGAATGAAGGCCTCTGGATCAGAACCACCGCGGGTGATGCACACTAGCCCGTAGCTGCTGACAATCTCCTCGATATCCTCAGGCTTCCACAGCCCAGGCACTCCGAAGGAGTCCAGCATGTCAGCGCCACACAGGAGCATCAACCGCGGCTCATCTGGGGAGGCAGCGGAACCATCAGCATTAAAGGATGCAGTTTACAGATCCCCCAGGGGGAAATCAGGTTACTTAACTGAGTGTGAGAGCAAAAGAATGAAGAATCACACCCAACTACTCCATTTCTGGGCAGGAAAAGTAAACAAATATCCAAATTCCATCTTTGCAAACCACTAATCCCCACCCTAAAGTCATGGTGTGGGTGGGGGGACCTATTCCAGGCAGGATAAGTGGGTAGAAGATGGATAGAAGGATGGATGGATGTTGTATGTCTCTTCAGGTGTTGTGATAATTTTGACACCATCGAGGAGAGTAGCATAATGCAGTAGTAATGCAAGGGGACTGTGTAAGGGGAAGCTTTGATTGGTACCTGATCTTTGAGGTGGCCCCTCCTCGAGCTTCCTCCTCTTGGTGGCACTGCTGGCATCCATGCGCTTTCTTTTCCTTCCAGCCTTCGCAGTGCCCACCACATCAGTGTCCGGTTCCCGGGAGAGCAGTTCCTGCCGGTGATGCCTGGGAGCAGATGTTAAAGATCAGTTCAGCTAACAGGGGGTGTAGCGGTCAAAGGAAAGGACTCATAGCTGAAAGGTTGATTTCTAAGACGGGGCCCTTTCACCCTTAGGGTGAGCTCACCGTAGCACTTTCACCGTCTCTAGCCAGTTGGCCTGCCTGCTCTCCCAGGTGTCCACCCCGATCCAGCTGGAGCTCTCTGCTGCCAGCTTGGCCATTTCTCCTCGATGGCTGGCCTCGATCAGGCCCTTCTTCTCATAGCCATCCCCCACTGGTGATAGGATCCCCTGGACTACTTCATACTGTCCTGGGAAAGCCAAGCACAGCACAAGAGTCCTATGTTGAGTATGGGTCATGCTTTTTAACAAATTAAGTTTCACATTTAAACCTTGTGGAGCTAAAAGTTAAGACAGCACGTTATTTACCAATAAAGAGGCTGGGTATGTCATACTTAATGTTCCCAAAAAATTACAACTTTTTATATAAAAAATCAAGTTGGCATAAGCATTTTGTTAGTAGCTTATGACAGGCCAGTGCGCCGTGTATGAAGGCAAGCAGGAGGAGTACCTGTGTCCTCCAGGTGATCTCGTGCCAGTTCGAACATGCGCAAATGCATGTTCGTTATTGGATTGAAGGAGCCACATGCCAGGAGGACCACTTTAGTTTTCTTTGGTTGCTGCAGAAAATACATTGGGAAAAATTACAAAATGACACTACATGTAGTCGCATGCAGTTTTCTGAATGGGCAGAAGGACAGGGTCCAGTGACAGCACCAGTCTGCTAGTGACCTTCCAACTATCAGCTTAAGGTCTTAACCCAGTGAGCTAAACACGACTGCACACCGTCACACAGCTCAAACCTCTTCCTTAAGTTTGCGGACGACACGACTGTGGTGGGTCTCATTAGCAATAGGGATGAGACTGATTACAGAAGCGAGGTGAGCCGCCTGGCCGTGTGGTGCGGAGACAACAATCTCTCTCTGAATGTGGAGAAGACGAAGGAGATTGTTTTTGACTTCAGGAGAGCGCACACTCAGCACGCCCCTCTGACCATCAATGGTGCGTCTGTGGAGAGAGTGCGCGGTACCAAGTTTCTGGGTGTGCACATCACTGAGGATCTCTCCTGGACAAACAACACCACTGCACTGGCCAAAAAATCACAACAGCGTCTCTACTTCCTTCGCAAACTAAGAAGAGCAAGAGCACCAGCCCCCATCATGTTCACCTTCTACAGAGGCACCATTGAGAGCATCCTGGCGAGCTGCATCACTGTGTGGTTTGGAGCCTGCAAGGCATCCTGCCATAAAACCCTCCAATGCATAGTGAGAGCAGCTGAGAGGAGCATTGGTGTCCCTCTCCCCTCCCTCCAGGCCATCTACAGTACCCGTCTCACCAAGAAAGCTCTCTGCATAGCAGCCGATCCCACCCACCCAATGCAAAGCTTCTTCAGCCTGCTGCCATCAGGGAGGAGACTGCGATGTCTCCAGGCCAGGACCAGCAGACTGATGGACAGTTTCATCCATCAGGTTGTCAGGAAGCTCAACTCCCCTCACTTCCCCCTTCTGCCCCACGGACTTTCTGAAACTTTCTGAATCTCTGTTATACACACACTAACACCCACACACTCACTCACCTGCACCAGTCACTTTGTGTAGCATTAGTCTGCTACTCAGCCTACCTCATAAATGACTGTCTGTCCAAGGCTGCTCGTTATTACTTATCACCTCTTACGAGCTCTATTGCACTTTATGTCTGATCTGCACTCTCTGCCACGTGCCCTTGTATATTGTATTTATTTATTCATATTTTTATTACTTGTATTCTTAAAGTTTTTTTTTGTATTAATGTTACTGTTAACTAGGGTTTGTGAGAAAACGTTATTTCAATTCTCTGTATTTTCTGTACATGTGGCAGAATTGACAATTAAAGCTGACTTTGACTTTGACTTTTTGACTTTGACAATACACCCAAACAAGCCAGATGCTTCAGTTTCTTACTCTAAGTTCTTGATATTTCAGTACTTAATCCAACAATAATTGGTAATACTCCATTGAATATTTGCCTCAACAGAATTCTGAAAATGATTTCCATAACATAAATCTGTTTATAGATAAGGATATAATGCACCATACTACTAAGCAACCTTAAATTATGCATTTCAGTCGTGATCCAAATGACAGCACAAGCGACATTTTTATAATTTTCAAACTGACTGCTTATCCTTATTCGCAATTATCATGAACGTGACTAGAACTGTCGTAGTTTAATCGCATATCTCAGTTAAAGCTATCCCACATCACAAAATTAAAGGTCTAACGCTTCACTACCAGTACATCAATCAAAGCGGAAGATAATAGAGCTTGTTCGCTTTTTCCCCAAACGGTATACAAGCCCGAATTAACCGATCATCTCCAGTTGTAATCAGCACATGTACAGCACTCCGTATGTTTAAGCACTCGTCCCCCAGGACCCCCAAAATACCTCAAAGCTCCGCGCAGTGCGAGTGCGCTTGGCACTACCGACGGGACGTTTCCGAGACATCGTTCTTCCACTAGGAATGGGATGATTCCGAGACATCGAAGCTAGTACCGCCCTCGTGAAGTTCAGACGTACTGTTTCAAAGCTCTTATGGACAGCAATTGCCATGTGACGTCGGAAGCTTCGAAGTTTTAGAACGCGTGTACGTAATTTCGAACCAAGTTCCATTGAACCACGCCCACATTCCAGTGACGTAAAATTAGCGCCGATCAAGCACAGGCATGCGCAGACGGAATGACATGGAGTCAACGTTGCAATTCGGTGGAGCAAACGAATTGCATGTTATTTAATCACTATTATTATTAGGACTGTTTCATATCCATAAAACAAAATGGATCGATACTGAACCTAACTTTTCATATATTTTTCAAACAATATATATATATATATATATATATATATATATACTGATAATTTCATTGCAGTAGCTTAATTGGGCTGTTTTGCGCACTTGCTACAGCTTGTGATAAAAGAGGGGCTGCTATCTCAACAAAGTGTAAGTAACACTGGAAGAAAAATTGGGGGACATTTTTTTTAAGCTTTCGCCACTTGCGTATTTCTCTTGGAATATATTCATATCGAACTAGGCCCGAGGAAAGGGGGGTGCAGCCGGTACATCGCTCCGGTGCCTGTGAAGCTCAAGGAGGCCCATGAAGCCCAACGCTTCCCATATTTTTTATTATACAGTGATCCCCAGCTATACTGCGGTTCAGCTATTGCGCCCCCGCTGTATCGCGGATTTTTCTGTGGAACATACGTAATTTTCTATCGCGGAAATCTGTGGTTTTCTAATGATAGTTTTTAATTAAATAGTTTTACATTGAAATAAGCATTTTTCTATGCTAAACTATTAATAACAACAATGCATTACTGATACGTGTACTGTATATAAATAAAACTTGAGTAAACATTCAATAAGTATATTCTACCCGTAGTGTACCTTGCAGCCTATTCATAACAAAGCATACGGTTTTCAGCAGACATTATGTGTGCTAGACAAAAATTCGTTAGAAAAATATTTTAATTTATAATAACTAACGTATACATAACATTTAAGCGATACACTAGTAAATCATAAAACATAGGCTACTGCTACGTACAGGAATAGCCTACGTAGACATGCAGATCGAGTCGCAATTCATAACGAAATGTGCATTGTCATGGATGGCACTGGAGAATCCCCATCGGCATCTCAGCCACGCCCCCTCGGGGATCCCGGTCGATAGGGCTTCCCCGAGGTTTTCGCACCCTGTCGTCTAGTTTTTCTTATTTTACCGGTTGCTCCCGTCTCGGACACTCCACTCCCAACTGTTCGTAGTTTTCCCCGGTTTCGGTACTCTATATCTGGCAGCTCGGTTTTCCGATCCGTGCAAGATCTTCATGGTGTGCCCAGAGCTCGAGCGTTTTCTCCTGTGTCTGATTATTGGTGTTCTGACGTCTGCTACGATTCCTAGACTCCGAATTTTTGCCTGCCCCCCTCTGTACTGACGCCGATCACCCGACCCCTGCCTGGAGACCCGACCTTGCTCTACGCCTCTGCCCTCTTCTGTACCGACGCCGATTGCCCGACCCCTGCCTTAAATATATGGAAATGGGCTACCTGAAGCAGATCCGCGTCAGTGTCCGTCTTCTTGCCCTCATAACAGTACATACGCTTTTCATTTGTCACTACGCGTGGTATAGACAAGAGTTCGTTAGAGCAATACGTATTATAATTTATAATAACTGTAACATAACTAAATATACATATACATTACATATTATTATTATTATTATTATTATTATTATGTTACTCATATCCTTAGCCCGACATCCACATATCATATGTTTTTACAAAGTGTGTTTTAATACGTTTAAGTTTACATGTGTTTAAAGTGTATCGGAGGGGTATTTTATAGCTTAAACTATATTTTTAAAAATGTTTATTTATATGGTCTTTGTATATCGCGGATTTTCACCTTTCGCTGATGGGTCAGGAACGTAACTTCGATCCGCGATAGGCAGGGGACATTTATACCTATAGCCTACATAATTATCTAAATGTACCAATGTAACCTACAATTGTTATAAATAAATAATAATATACAAACATACATGTGTGTAGAATTTTGTATAAGGGCCCACACACCTTCTTCGTACCGGGGCCCGGATTTTCTCTCGGCGGCCCTGGTTACAGATGCTCAGTTGTTTTGCACCAATAATACCTCCATAGAATAACATCGGGTTGATTCCCATCATACATTGCTGGCTGCAACAACGCAATGAAGATGCAAAAGACTTTTCGGCGGAATAGCACAACCGAAATAAACTTTGGGTAATTGCCTGATCATTGATGTACCAATGTGTTCAAACTAAATCATCACTAATCAAAAGTATAATGGTGGGTGATACCAAAAAGAACACGTTTACTGCAGCAAGTATAGCAAAATTGAGTTTCTGTAATGCCGTTGTGTTTTTTGAAATGTCGTTGTGTTTTTTGAAATGTGTTTATTTTAGCAGAAATATAAAATGTGTTTATTTTAGCAGAAATATAAAGTACAGGTATTTTATGGGACCTACTGAAATAAAGGTAGCTGATTATGAGAAAGACCTTGGTGTGCATGTTGATGCTTCCATGTCTCATTCTCGCCAGTGCGGGGAAGCAATAAAAAAGGCCAATAGGATGTTGGGGTATATCTCCAGGTGTGTGGAGTTTAATCAAGGGAGGTAATGCTAAGATTATACAATTCCTTGGTGAGACCTCACCTAGAATATTGTGTGCAGGTTTGGTCACCATATCTTAAAAAGGACATTGCGGCCTTAGAAAAGGTGCAGCGTAGGGCCACAAGAATGATTCCTGGTCTTAGAGGAATGTCATACGAGGAAAGGTTAGTTGAGCTAAAACTGTTCAGCCTCAAGCAAAGGAGACTGAGGGGGGACATGATCCAGGTCTATAAGATTCTAACAGGTTTGGATGCTGTTCAACCAAATAGTTACTTCAGCATTAGTTCAAATACAAGAACTCGTGGCCATAGGTGGAAATTAGCGGGAGAACATTTCAAACTGGATTTAAGGAAGCACTTCTTTACACAGCGTGTAGTCAGAGTATGGAATAGTCTTCCTGATAACGTAGTGCAAGCTGAATCCTTGGGTTCCTTTAAATCAGATCTAGATAAGATTTTAACAACTCTGAGCTATTAGTTAAGTTCTCCCCAAGCGAGCTCGATGGGCCGAATGGCCTCCTCTCCTTTGTATAGTTCTTATGTTCTTATGTTCAAATAAGACTGGGACTTACATTCAAAAACAATCAGGAAATGAAAGGAACCACAAGGAGTTCAAAAGACAGGTAGGAAGACCTAAATAACTAAAGCAGGAAGCAACACTGGAACAGACGCAGGACCAAGTACACTGGAAAAATTATGGAATATTGGAACAACAACAATTACCAACTGAAGACTAAAGCAAGGGCAGGCACCTAAATATACGCTTAAATTTTTTCATAGGTATTCAACAATTCACAAAAGCTACGTCTGTCAAAATCAAGTTGGGATTTCTTTACTTCTTCTAATCCTAGACAGTCACATTGTTTACCTGCATTACCTGCACATGCCTTAGTTCTTTTTTTGTCCTTTGTATTCCTTATTTTATTCTGCATTTTAAATCTGTAAATCGCTTTGAATTACCTTGTGTATGAAAATGTGCTATACAAATAAACTTTGACTTGAATTCTCCATTGGGAGAACAATAAAGCAGGACAAGAAGCGAAACAAAACAGACAAACATCACATCAAGACAACATTCATAACAACACAGTCAAACGACACATCAGAACAACATCCTAACAAAGCAGTCAAATGACAAGGAGAATGACACATATAGATGACAAGCATAATTTTGCAGTCAAATGACATGGAGGATGACACATCAAGATGACATGCAGGACAGCACACAGACAACACATCAGAACAACATGCACAAACAACGAGGAGAATAACACTTCAAGACGACACGTTGACATATTTGGTCAACAAGCTATACAACTGTCAAATATTTTATGTCACCTTCCATTGTCTGTCCGCAGTTCTAATACTAAGATCAGAAGTAAAAAAACACCCAGGATGTCATTCTTATCCCACCTCAAATATGAAGGATACATCTGTTGCATCTTTGCCAAATGAGTCCAATCCCATGATTCATTGCACTCCAAGTTAATTCATGGGAGGCAACTTAGCAATGTTGAAATATCAAACTACACTGCCTGTTCAAAAAAAACAGTCGCCATTTGAATTTTTTGTTGGGCCGCCTTTAGCTTTGATTATGGCGCATATTTGTCATGGCATTGTTTCCACAAGCTTATGCAACATCTCATCCTTTATTTTCATCCAGATTTGCATTAATTTCTCACCAAGATCCTGTATTGACAAGTGAGTTGAACCACTCCATACAGCCTCCTTCAGCACATCCCAGAGACCTTAAATGAGGTTAAGGTCACAACTCTGTGGTGACCAAGTCACGCGTGAAAATGATTCCTCATGCTCCCTGAACCACTCTTTGACAATTCGAACCCATTGAATCTTGGCATTCTTGTCCTGCAATATGCCCATGCCAAAAGGGAAGAAAATATCCATTGATGATTGATGTAGGTGTAACCTGGCCATTCAGTAGATTCATGTACTCAGCTTACTTTATTGCTGCATAACGTTGCAGGACTGTACTAATGATCTAGTCATTGGCTTTTAAGTATTTGCTGATATAAATTCAAATGGTGACCTTTTTTTTGGACGGGCAGTGTATAATGTACACTATTAATTTGAGCAAAAAGGCCTCATTGTAAAAGCTGTATGCAATAAGAAGACATAACAAGGTTGTGCACCATTCAGATCTGAATTGAGATTGACCTTGAAATTCAAATTCAGTTCATAAAATTAGTTGAAAACAGGGTGCAGAATTCCAATTTGCATTTGAATATAAGGAAGTATAGATAAAATGGAACTGATTTCACATAAGTACATACACATACATTCACAGCTGTAACAATATGGCTGAATATTTCAGTATGTATTACAGAGCATGTTAACATGAACAGCATACACTGAATCCACCCCCATCCCTCCACCGCGATCGCCACGAACATTTATGATGGCAAAAACTACAAATTAGCCATGTTCCCCCGTTAGAGCACCTGCCTGAAAAGTCTGTGCATGTCACTGTTATTATTGAGAATGAAAGAACACCACATTGTAGTGTCACCTATAGAATAAATTATTTTACTGTAATTTTATGTATCATGGTGGAACACCACTTCATATAGCCATACAAGTAACCCTAATGCAAAACCTATCCATCTGACAACCCAGAACATTCACAAGAAAAGCTACTGCAGACTCATCACAAACAGTAACACACATAAACAGTTAAACCTACAAAAACAATAAATATATCCCCATGGAAAAGGACTTAGAGGGCTGACATAAACCAAATGCATATTGTTAGATTATAGGCTAAAATAATTAGACTATTTTTAGCTTACAATCATGCAAATATAAAGTACTCTTCACTCACTAGCACATATACAGCGGTCTCCACAATTATTGGCACCCCTTGTAAAGATTTGTAAAAAGGGTTAGAAAAAATCCAGCTTTTGGTGAAGCAGCTTCATGTCACACTGAAAAATTGAGTAAGATCCAACCTTTCTTTAACATAGATTTATTCCAAGAAAAAAAAAATCCTTCATCAAGAAATAATTATCTTGTACACATACTTGTATTCTTGGCAAAAACGGTCTCACTAACTTGCCTCCCAAGAACAAACTTGGGACACAGTGAATCATGAGATTGTCCTCACTGGTGTGGATGCAATGGACACATTGTTGATATTTGGGGCTGAAAAAGAAAAACATTCAGGCATTTTTGCCATCCTCTGTACTTCTGTTCTTGAGTATCGGAACTGTACTTTGGCAATGGAAGATGACGTCAAACAGGTACATGAAGAATGTCCAAGTACACATATTGATAAACACCCAGTGTATGGTTGTGTACCCTTTGATGAACTTGCAATCTGTCTAGGAGTCACTGTCTTCATATTCCTCTTCAACGCCATTATATGGTGGGTGTGCTAGTTGACCCTTGTGCTAGAGGCCCTTGGTGTTGCTGTTGTGAAGCAGCCCAAGGTTATCTGCCCACTGTACTCATGACTCATGGATTGATTGGCATTGGCATCCCCTATCATGTGCCCTGTACTACTTGAGAAAGGCATGCAACCCTATATGGATATGTAAAACATCCTGTATCAACTAGTCCTGGCTGCCAAAAACCTGTTGGCGGATCAATTTCTCCCTCCTTGTACCACTCTTAGTAAGTTCTCCCCTAACCCCCACAAGTCTTGCCATTTCAGAGATGCTCTGACCCGGTAACCTGGCCATAATGATTTGGCCCTTGCCACAGTCACTCAGATATTTATCCCTGCCAATTTCTTCTGCAGTCAATATGTTGACTAAGAGTACCGATTGTTAGCTTACCGTTTAATATATCCCAGACCTTGACACACTCATGAGGAAGTGGTCATACAGTTTTGGCTCACTGGTGTGTGTGTGTGTGTGTGTGTGTGTTTGTGCAGAAACAATTAGTGTAAAGTGATTTCAGTATTTATAGGAGGGTTGCTGAAAATGGAAGACATTTTGCTGTTGAGCATAAGGGTCAAGATGCAGCCAAGTCACCAAGTTATTCCTAAAGATTCAGTCTGTCCCTGAATTTCACGATAAATTCTGCACAACTTTTAATCAAGTACAGAATCAAACACATTGCATGAATGGACAGCCTTAAATGTCGATAGACCCTGAAGAAATTGATACCCAGTTGTAACATTTTTCCAGTTATACAGAATCTGATATTTAACGTAATGCCTTTAGATCAACATTGAAATACACTACAGAGATTGGTAAGAAATTTATTGTTCCTTGTAAATTTTGTAATACAATGAAATTTAGAGAAGCTTTACATTCACCAGACAAGCTATTAAACAGCCGCAAAATTTGCAATAAGTTTAGATGCTGGTTCCAATTATTCAGTACATTTCCACAGGATAAGTGTCATTTCAGCAAGAATGCAACCAAAGACTATACATAAATTCTAGAAAATACTAACCAGGGCATTAATACAATGCAGTTAAGCACCAAAGCATAAGGAAACCAAAATATACAGAGCAGGAAATTGAGAAATATATTTTTTGATCAAGTGGTCAAAAGGGTCATGATATCCAAAAAAAAACTCCTTTTGAATGGACACAAAAACGTGACTTCACAGACAACTGACCACATATTAATTTTGGATGGTGATTCAGTATGATTTGTATGGAAAGGTAACTTGGAAAGCTGTCTACCTGCTAATATAGTTAGCATTTTTCAAAAAACACCAATGACATGGAGCAGCTTTTCTGATAATGTGCAGAATACCCTTTAATTATTTACATCTTGGGCACCTCCCTAACTAACAATCCAATCAGCCACCTGGACCTGTGCTGTGCTCAGAGAAAGGACATCCTGCTTGTTCCCTGGGACTATGATATATATAACGAAGAATAAATAAGTAAATTTTTTCATAAACACACAGCCTGAATGGACAAGGGCCAATTACCACAGAAAACTAACAAATCGGAGACAAACAATATTCCTCTTTTTGATGGGATGCCTGACATTTTTAAGAGTTCTACATATTGTATGGCGAGTTAAAAAATGATGAGAACAGGAAGTTAATTTAATTCAATCTGTATGTCACTGTACTGTTCAGTTATATGCCCAAATCCCAATCGTCACCCAGTAGAATAATGAAATCCATGAACACTCCCAAAAGCAGTGTTTTAGAATTGTCTAAAACTCTAGTAGAATCTATATTGTGTCAAGGGTAACAACTTATCCGTCTGAGCCAGTTACTAAATCCGAATTACGCCCCCCCCCTTTTCTGTCACAAATTTCTAAGGTTGCTTAGCAGCTGATGGTGTGACACATATAGCCAGGCTTAAAGGCATGGATGTGCACAGGGAATGTGACAATTCTGCAAGACATGCATCTCAGTTTTGTTCTGTAAATGCAAAACTGCAACGCAAAGAGGATCACTCCTGTCGTTCTTCATCTTCCCCACACTAAACCAGTTCCTCATTTTCCCTAAGTCCATGTCTTGCATTTCTGAGATTAGAAAAAGATCCTCACATACTTTCAAATTTAATCGGGTCACTTAACATTTTGTTAACTAATCATGACTAATTTATAATGTCTGCGTGTCGACTGTTCTTTTACAATGTCCTCCAATAGGATACTTGTTTAAGCTCATGCAATTAGAAAAAAAATTCTCAAATGGGAATGGATATCATATGCCAAACTAAATTAACCAAATACATAATATGTGTGCTTTCAACAAAACGTCAACTGTAGCAAACAGGTTCAAGAAAATTCCTCAATTTCTCATATATATTTTTTTCCAGAGAAATACATAGGCATGTATATACATATACATGCAAACATATCTCTTGATGGGAAATTAATTTGGTGGTGCAACATATGGAATCCATGAAAAATAAGGACAGCAGCACATGCAATTCAATGAAAGATGACTGCAGAGGTAGATGGGAAGGCAGACCGAATAGGACACACGTCTCAAACTGAACCTTGACAAGCCTGAAGGAGCAACAGAGCTGACAGGCTGAACGCGTAGAGTGACACCTCAAGCCGCGGCGTCTTTGCAATGGTAGGGCCTCCCCGCGAAGGCCAGGCTGGGTGGAGCTCCGTCCAGCTGCTGGACAGATGAGGGACTTAAAAGGAGGACAAACACAGAAGGGCTCCGTCAGAACTCCTCGTGCACGTTGCGGGCGTAGTCCATTAGCTTGCTACCCGTGAAGTATTCACTGTATTTTAGTATCTCCTCTAGTTCCAAATTGTGGTTCTGGTTCTCATCAGCCACAGCAATCATCTGCTTGGCTTCGTTGAGGGCATTATACTCATTCATGGGGTCCATGTACTCCTGCAGTGTAAAATACAACAAGGTCAGAGAAGACACTGAAGCAACGTGCATCCTGAGTAACTTCCACAATAGCAGGAAGATGGCGCTGTAATTTGCTTAGGGTGTTATTTTAGATGAGCGGATGGATGGTAAACCACCCGAGAAGCCCTTAGCTGAGAAAAGGGAGGAAACCAATCACATCAACAAGAGCTCAAAAACTCAAATGGCTGATGATTAGAGTTCATAGTATATATTTATAATATACTTAAAATAATCAAGAGATAAGCAGATATTATGGCAAGTCGGTTTGATGTAAAAATTATTTTTAAAAAGCTTTGATTAGTACAGGAAGTCCCTGGGTTAAGAATGTCCAATTTATGGACAGCTCATACTTATAAATGTACTGCCATAAAGTTGATTACATAAAAAATTTGGGTTAAATACAATGGTTTGCAATAATGAATGCATGCACTAATTTGTGACACTTGTGAAAACATTGTGTGGCTTCAGCAGTTTGTCAGCTTGTGGTACACAGCGGTGCCGTAAGTTCTTACTTTTATTATTACTGTACAATTATTATTATTGTGCACTATGTTATTTTTCCAGCTTACCTACAAATTCGACTTAAAGACAGACTCAGGGAACAGATCTCGTTTATAACCTGGGGACTGGCTGTACCTGAAAATGTTAGTGCTTGCAACTTCAAACAAGACAAAACATGCCCTACCTCCAACTCCTCCATTGTGACAATACCATCTTGGTTGGCATCAATGACCTCCTGGAATTCCTTCTTTCTCTCCCTGACCCAGTCATCGTCAACGTCCTGGGCTTGCTGGTTCTCCACGGTTCCCATCGGCAAGGAGATAAACTCCGACAGGGTCAGTTTTTTGTCGCCATCTTGATCTGTCATACCCCCAAAAATGGCTAGGTAAACTTACTGCACACAATATAAATTTACAAGTCAGGTACACAGAGGGGTAGGCAACAGTGATGGAATTTGCCGACAGGTGTCACGGGGGATAGTGTTAGCTTACACCTTAAGAATTGAAAATCTGATCCTTGCTCTAGTTCTGCACATGCAGTGTTGGCTTGTTTTTTGGCTTCTTTACCCCTATAACCAAAATACTCACGGTTCGGGTGGTAACGTTGAATGATTGTATGTCTATTAATTGCCCTGGTGGGCCCTGCTATAGAGCGCCATCCATGGACTGTAGATCAGTGTAAGGCTAATGGGGTGGGAGGATTTCCCAAAATGATGGCTGCATGTCTTCATCAAAGGCTAGTACTGCCAATCAGTGTCAGGCTAGCTTCAGGATTAGGACCGCATTCTGAGTAGTTCAGTTGTCCTAAAAACACAACCATAGATGGCAAGGGATTACTGTACCCAGATCACGAACGATCTCCTTGACCATGTACTTAAGCATGCCCCGGCTATGCTCTGGGTGAAGGAAGGAGAGGAACTCCTCTTCGTTCAGCAGCTGGTCTGCTGGGGGATTGTCGGCCTGAAACCAGCGGTCCTTGAGGCTCTCCAGAACCTCCTGGGCTGTAAGCGATGCAATTACAAAATCATGTTACAACTTACACCAACATTCTCCTGATAGTCCCCTTCAATATAAACATCGTAAGCATACAGACTGTTTGCTTATCACTTTAAACACCATAAAGATACAATGGGTGTCGACTTACTCTCCTCATCCACTTTCAACTCCTCGTTATTCTTAAGTTTCTCTGCCACCTCCTTCTCATTGAAACCTTTGCTTGCCAAAAACTTCACCCGGTATTCGTCCCAGGTGACATGTCCTACAAAGAGCAACACAGAACTTAACTCACACTGCAGAAATTAAGCAACAGAGAAAGAACACTACAGACGCTCCTCTACTTACGAACGAGACACGAACATTTCAAGTTACAAATGGCTGTTCGGAACGCAAGTCATTATTCAAGATCATTTTAAGGGTATCCGCAAGTACAAATAACTAGGATGCTGGGAGTAGCTGGGAGTAGCGGCTAGATGTCGTACTAGGCGGAACTGGCGCGCAGAAAAAAAGATATTATGTTACGGACAGGAAATGGGATTTAGACTTACAGTCCTCTTCGTTCATACGTCTGAAAGTATGTAAGTTGAAAGTTCGTAAGAAGAGAAGTGTCTGTATACTGAAAATGAGAGGCCTATTCTGTCTTTGAGGGCAGCCAAATGAGCAACAGGTCTTTAGAAACTCTTGCCCACGTACATCTGTACTGACCTAGGAGGAGAAAAATCCATATGACAAGCTTATAGAATGATGTATTTTGCTATATAGTCCAATAAATTCTTGGCTTCCCTGTCTGTGCTGCTGCTGGTATTAATATACATCATAAAAAACAGCAATTTCCATTTTAAAAAGCTGTCATCTGCTCTATTAAAATGAATCAAGCACTTGCCACAATATGTTTATTTGTGCTCTGTGTGTGGGTCTGCTGCATGGAAAACATTCTGTGCCGTCTAGGGTTGCGGCGTGACATAGATTAAACAAGGTGGGCGTTGTTTTAAATATACAACACATTCTTCTTGCTGGTGTATTCAATTTCATTTTGTCTGGACATATATAGTACATTTATAGTATACTTAAAATACGACCACCTTAAGTGAAAGTTCAATCCAGTGTGGATGGTAAGATTTTGGTTAAGGTTTTGTCTTGTAGAAAAACTGATCTTTGTATACCCGATACCCTATTTCACTATTAGACTGCATCCTTGAAACTCAGCTTGGGGTGCAATGTGCACCTTATTATACCAACACTTTCCCTTGGTTTCAATAAACCAAGAGATACAGGCACAATCTTCCCAGCAAAAAGACAATGCACAGGAGGAAGACAAAGGATGTTTTTGTACATTCTAAAATCTACATTATATAATAATGTGATCAATCATGCAATCAATACATATTCAAAATAATACATAGCCTGTAATATAAGTGTGAGCATTTTATTATGCATCCTTGAAGATATCATCAGAAGACCATTTGAATCTCTTCTACACAAATTAAACCAGACAGTTTAATGATCCACTGACCTTCCAAAGTTCAGTTATAATAAACAAGGATACCTGACCCAGAGAACATCTCATTTCTGTTCTGAAAATACAGGGGTCACAAACTAAGAAGACCAATAGCTAGAGTTCAGGAGCCCTGTGACCCTGAGGACCAACAAAATTCTCCTCACCATCTCCATCTGGGTCCACCGCACGAAAGCTGAGCTTATTCTCCTTCACAGCTTCCTGAAAGTGCTCCTCTGTCTTCTCCATAATCCACCGCTGCATCTCCTTTGCACTGATACTCTGGTCACCATTGAAATCCACCCTGTGGGAAAGCAAAAGTGATTAATGACTTAAACATAAATGCATTCCTTCCCATGGGAAATACAACAGAACATGCACTGAAAATTAAACATACAAAACAGGCCATTAAAAAAAAAACATTAGATATAAAAATATTAATAAATATTAAAATTAAAAAGTAAATTAATTAACATTAACATTTTATAACCATAGCCATTTTTGTTAAAGAAAAGTCCGTAATAAAAACAAAAGGAAAAACAGTACTGTTGGGATATACTGAATAAGCTGAAAGCTATACTAGGATTTTTTATATATAAAAAAGAATTTCTCAGTAAATGTTATGCATCTGCAAAAGCAACTATCAGTCTGTTTATGCTCAAAGATTAAAACCATAAACATATGTTATTCTGGTTGGAGAATGTACCCTAATAGTCATTTTACTTTAATTTTCAGCGAAACAGACAGAAAATCCTTATTTGGCATATAAAATTACTATCTCTACTGGACATAACTAAACCAGTTTTTTTTGGTACAGGTTCAGCCCATGAACTTGATCTGTGCAAGGCGATAAGACAGCATTCAATGATTTACTTTCAACTGTCTCTCTAAAAGGCAAACATATCTGATTGGTGTTCTCACTCTACAAGTAAATGCCACCTATTCCCCACTAACTTTTTGAAAAATAGCTTAAGCTACACCAGATATAGTCCCAGCTACCGATTATTTGCAATTATATACAAAACTAGTTCGTCACATAGTAAAAATCATTATCTGATGTATTTAATTTAATTGTCTTTCCTTTTCCCTGTTTTGGATTACTCTTTCTTAATGATGTTGTAAGCGCCTTGGGGCAACTGATGTGAAAGGCGCTATATTAAAAAATTGAAGTGAACTGAATTGAAATGATCAAATTAGTATTAAACTCTTGTGAGATTCCATACTTGCTGAATATATCTATTAGCTTCTTCCTGTTCTTCCGGGGCTCCGAGTCCTCTTCAAACTCTTCCATATCCTTCCCCAGGAAGACCTCTTGGTGGAAGTCTTTGTTGAGGTGCCCATCCATCTCCATCTTTACCCCATTGAGGTGGTCTGGGGGCAGGATCTCATTCTCTTCTTTGCTGCTGGGGTTCTTGTCTTTCAGAGATGACATGTTGGCCGGACGGGCATGTGTGGCCATGGTATAAACCAAGGCCAGGAGAGCCAGGTACAGCATCCCGTGCGACCTCCGCCACACTCTCCTTCCGTGCATGGCTTCCGCAGTCAGACGTCTCTGATGGGCCGGTGTAAAGTGCTGTCATTTACATGAACACATGTATTAACCTATATGAAACAGCTATTTACGCCTACATATAAAATCAAAAATAGACGCGAAACGCTCTCAGCTACCCTTTACAGTGACCTTACGTACTACTTCAGCTGGCAAACAGATGTTACAAAATCAAATTTAAAATGTAACACGGGATGGCCATGTGTAAGGTAAAGATAGAATAACATGATGACGATAAAGTATAAGCTCCTAAAGGACATTCCGGCCGCAACGCTACGTGACGTGGATGAAAGGTTGCCAAAATTACGATTTGTATTTGGAAAGAAGAATACGTTCTTAATAATTTCTCTCAAACATAAATAAGGAAACAAATTCGACCGTCTGCCTATAGCCACAAAACCAATAAACCGAAATCGCCAACAGCTGAGATAGAGCCAGGTGAGACTGACCTACCTACTGCGACATCCACTGCGCAGGAAATAAAAATAAAATAAAAATAAACCCGGTCAAACTAATAAAATGTATCTGTAGGTCTAGCTGCGCAGGTGACGCGTCGTCTGCGTCACATCGATCCTTAACGTTGATTGGAAGAATCCGCAGGGTGCCGCGTGAGTTCTAGGGTTTCCTGTACACGTGGCTCTTGGTCGGGCAGCGGTTGGTACGGAGCGGGGTCACTCCCCTCTGCTAAAGCTTAAAACACGTCCACGGAGCTCAAACTGTGCACCGTATGACGGCTTTCAGGCAACGTCCGAGTAGCTGCCATTGTCTGGAACCCGACTTCCGGGGAAAATGCTTTTCGTATGACCTACCCCGGCAACAGTCGCTTATTTGCAGCGTGAAACCCGGTGCATTTCCCCCTGGCGGCTATACACATTATTGTTGAGAATCAAAGAGACGTTACCGTGATTTTGGTGGTGTCATTTGTACGGTTTATCTACGGCTCTATTTTAATGTCAGTGATGTAAACAGATTTTTTGCGTCTTATTTTTTAACAAGTCATATGCACGACGTCACCTTTTTCCCCACACAGATTCGTACCTCCAGCCACAAGGTGGCGACGAACGCGAAATATTTCAATTGAAAACCCGTTTACGCCCTTCCACGTCTTCCTCCTCGATGTTTTGCAAAACGTTTGTGCGCATGTGTGAATTTCATTCAGTATTCTGAACGTGGAAGTACGACCTGGAGATTTAAATTGGAATATTTCGATCATTTTTGCGCGAAGAAAGACTTAAATCATGGCCTATTTACTGTTTCACGACAGCATCTGGTAAAATGAGGAAATCTGCAGAATGCGAGTTTTTAAATTTTAAACAGTATACTCGTTAATTCATGGGTTGGATAATAGTTACTTCCAGTGCCAACTGGAAAAGAAACATGATTTATATGAATTTGCATTGGCCATACAATGCAATAGTATTTAGTCCTACGAAGGCTTGTTGTTGAAAATCAAAACTAACCAGTGGCAATGGTGGCTTAATGGTTGGGGAAACACACTTGTAATAGAAAGATTGCTGGTTCGAATTTCCGACCAGCAGGGTACCTCAAGCACTGCTCCCCGGGCGCTGAATTAGCTGTACCCCCCGCTGTGTCACATATGGATTAAATACAGAGGACACTTTTTGTTGTGTCTTCATTGATCACTTAATTAAGAAAGTCGGGTACCATTCGAATGTATGAACACCTCCAGCTGTTTCTTCCGGCTTTTGAGAAACCCTGTAGAACTGAGGCTGTAACACATGAGTTTGGCCATGGCATTAGTAAACAGGTTTCTAGTTACTGAGTATGAAATTGTCACAGAGTGTTGGCTAGTTTTATTTCCTAGTGTAGCTACAAAATTGGACACATCAAAAATTTCCCTCTGAGGTGAATAACATATCTATCCATCGCTCTGTATAAACATTGTAGAAAAAACCATTTCAGCATTTATTCTGTTTTTCAGGATATTCTGTAGTGTACTTTTTAAACTTGTTTGTACTGCATTTACCTGTTTACACAATTAGTACCGTCTTTGCACTTTGTCTTGAACTATATATAAGTTCGTCTGGGCTCCACGTACCTCCTTGCTGTATGCACAAGAATGTCCCCCCGATCAAGAAAGTTGATCTTAAATAAAAATGTAGAACTAATTTAAATATTAATGTTTACAGTATCATCTTAAGTAATGAAGTCGCTTGACTAATTTAGTCTAATCCTCAGTGATTTCCCCCGAAGTAGTGATTTAGTGCTTGTGCAACGAGTTTTGATTTACATTTAAAATGTAAACAGGGATCAAGGTGGATATTTAGCACTATAGTGTGTAGGCCAAACCTTAGAATAAGGAGGTGAATTACTAAGCTGAAAATGAGAGCAGTTGCTTCTCATTTTATTTACCAAATAGGAAGACGCTTGGCTAAGCAAAATGAGTGATAGTGTGGGATAAAAACTGATTTTGCTCTTAAGTGTGGCAGACGGCTCTGCTTGTTACTTTTTCCCTGCTTCAATTTGGCTTATGTTTGTTTTCTTCATAACACATACAGTGTATTTTGTTGTATATAGCATTTTGGAAAAAAGCCTTAATTTTCCATAAGCCAAGAAGTATGATTTAAATGTACACTTGACATTTGGATTCGTCTGTGAACGAGAGCACGAATGGAGTTATTGTTACGAGCTGCACTAGGTGGCACCGTTTACACGGTATTTTTAATGTATCACTACTTTTTACGGCCTAGGCTGGCGACCATGTGTTGTTGCCTCTTGAGGATTTGCTACCTTGCACAAAAGTGTCAAATATGCATATTTTATAATTTTGCAAGTAGAGGAAGGTAAAGATGCATGCTAATTGTATGGAACAATGGAATCACTTAGCACTATATTTACTATAGTGGTACATTGTTTTGTACAGTTATTTTTCTTTAATTTATTAGTTATGTTTGTTTAGATACTGATTTACTTTTATAGTTTTTTTATTTGTGTTATCTTTTTTTTGTATTTATTTCTGCTTTTATTGTCCTTTGTTGTATTTCTTTCTGTGGTACTGGAAAAAATAAATTTCTTCCTAGATCAATGTCTTAATTTAATAATTTATATTTTATTAGTAAAATATTTCCTATGTATAAAACCAAATTATATAGAATATATAGACATTTTTTTTTTTAACTTTGTGTCTATAGGTATATAGTTTAATTTCTGTATTCATATAAAATATATATCAGTGCTTGTAAACTGACTAAGCAATCATATGTTTAGAAATAAAGCTATGGAGAACCTGATCTTAGAAAATTGCAGCTAATGCAGCTTTCTGTCTATACAAATTTCACACCTGTCTTCCTCTCATGCTATGCTCAGCTATTCTTAAAAGATGTGTTGACAAGATATCACAATCAAAGTTTGGATCAGTGAAAAGGTCTCTATTTACTTAACCCTTATATCTTACCTGGTTATATTTAATGAATGTTTCAGCATTATGTGAGACTTGGGAAGCTGGTGAGAATCTTTCGACAGTTCTGAACTTGCTAAGTGAACGACATAGTAAAACTTGCTGGTCCAAATTTGTAATGTCAGAAGTATCTGCACATATCCGCAGGCGTTAGACTACGACTCCTGTTTCTGCTTGATGATCCATGCCTAATAACATCACCGATAGTGACCACTGCTGGACTTATGCGCTCTGAAGGGCAGCTCATGCCACACCATGTTAAATGAGCTGCCTATGCCATCAGAAATTGTTTTAAAACCTTACTAATAAAGGGCACATTCATGCAGCTCTTTTGCACCTGTTTACTCACATTCCGTATCTTGTATTTTGTCGCAGAGATTTTAAATTGTATTTGTTTGCATCTGAAGATTCAAGTAACGTTAATGTATCTGGCCCCAGATCTCCACACTAATTCATCCAAGCTAAGATGCTAACATCGAATTTCACAAGAATCACAAGACTGCAGGTCAATCTAGGCGTCTTAAATAGCCAAACAATTTGCAATGTTCTTTAAAGTACAATATTGTGTGTGTTAAAGACAAATGATTAAACCAGACTAACAACGCAGTATTTATTTAGTTCATTCAGCTCTGCGGGCTGTGCTTAGTGAAAGCAGGTTGTATTTCAACACCTCTTAAAAACATCACAACAGATACTTCTCTTTGCTCAAACCACAGAGGAATCTCTGAATTCTTTCTCTGGCAATTTGTCAAATGGAAGATTACACAAGAAGATGCCTGAGGTATTTTTCTGCAGGGATTGGAGCTCCTCTTCCCTGTTTGGATACACTCTTGTGTTGATGTGAAATTAAAGCAAAAGTCAGTATATTAAAGGCACATAGACTCACACTTCGCAGTTAGTAAGCCCCCCCCCCCCAACCCAAACTATCTTAGAATTTCAGTATTTCATCTAAGAGATAAAACAGAGCAGAAGAAGGCAGTGAGGCTGCCAATTCACTGATGAGAAAAATAAAGGCAGGCAGGAAGGAGAGAGGGAGAGAGAGAAGAGAAAGGAGGGGGAAGACAGAGGTGATAAAACTCTGCAGAGTCTGCATGCTCAGTCACAGAGAGTGAGAGTGAGGGAGACGAAGCAAACTGACAAGGACCTACCACAGTGGCAAAGACACGGCACTTTCAGAGACGCTAAGGGCCCGTGTTTTTGCCACGCTTTTGTGGACTGGGAGACATTAGGGAATCGGAAGCTGTTACTGGTGAGCAAGTGGGTGCACTGGACTTTCCTGGAGAGACCTGGGATTTATCCCCTCAAGGGCTGTCTGCTTTGAAGTATTTTTCAGACACTGCTGCGGGGGACTAATTTTCCCCTTCAAGGAAAAGAGAAAGGGGGCCAAAGGCTAAAAAAACCGGAAGGGATCCAAGTCACAACTCTCACGCCCCCCCCCCCACCCTCTCTCATCTCCATAAATCAACTTTCATGCCCCTTGGATTTTCTGCTTTTTCCCTCCCAAAAGGAGTGATGCATGACAACTGTCACATTGAAGACTGTATTCTACAGAAATTCTGGGCTGTTTGGATTTGACACAGCCTCTGACTGGCGCACTACCACTAGAGATCTTCAGCAAGAGGACAAGAGTCTTCAGAGAGGAAAGAGGTTTGCAAAACCTCCCGTTCTACCTACCTAAAAGTACAACAACCCTCTACCCCCCCCCCCAACTCAGACTCTAATTCCAGCCCCTTCCACCCTTAGCCCCTCCTCTCCTGTCTCCCCTCTCCCCCATGAAGCAGGAAGCGTGAAAAATCTCACTAAATGGGTTTATTTGCCGTCAGAGCTGTACTGATCTGTCATTCCCCAGGACCATTTCAGTTGACGTGTTTCATAGCTCTGGGAGCTGCCTGGTTGGGTGGTGCATTGGAAGCTGTTGATCTGGAGTCTGTGAGGGGCAAGAGGCAGCATCAGTTGCTGTAATTCCCCAGAGTCATCGAGGCTTCCCCCTCCAACTCACCTCGTTGGGTCTATCCCAGGATCTACCACTTGTGAAACCAACAACTTCCCAACCAAAGAGGACTCTTTGTTTTTTGATCCTTTTTTGGTGGGGCACCATCGAATCACAAGCGAACCATTCCTCCAGTAGTGGTGTTTGTTTTCTAGTTGCCCCATCCTTTGGTAGTTTGCAGAGGTTGCCCCGCGTGGCTCAAGATGCGGTGTTGGCCATTGGCCGTGGTGGCCGCAGTCTTTTGGACCCAGTGCCTTCTTTTTCGTGAGGTTGATGCCAAGAAGGAGAAGAAGAGACAGAAGGAGAACATCCCACAACACACAGAGTCTTACAACTCCTCAGTCTCCAACAGTGAAGAGGTTGGAGGGAACACAAAGGTAATATTATTGTCCCCCTCTATCTCTGGGTCGTTCATTTTCTCTGTCTTTGCTGTTTCTGTCCTGAACTACCTGCACCTGTTGTCAAAGTGACTGTTGCTTTTTTGGAATTCATTATGATTAGTTGATAACTTAAGTATCCTTACTTGAAGGTTCTTTTCTCTCATTTCATACCTTAAGATATGCTGCATTGTTTGATGTGCCTTGTTTAGCTATCAACTCAGTGCTCAGTGACACACATGTAGGGAATCAAATGGTCTTTTTTTCATGCAAAATGAGATTATTTTGATGAAATATGTTAAGATATTGAATGTGTTTATATTTTCTAGATTAAAAGCTTCTGCTCATTTGTGTTTTTTTTTTTTGTTTTTGCCGAAAACATTTTTTTCTGCCTTTGACAGAATTCTTTTTCCGTCAATGTCTGCCAAAATCCTTGCGTTCTGTGGATTGAGACTTTTCTGATTAAAGAAATAGTATGATAGACAGGTCTGGGCCCGGTTTCTCGAAACCTTCTTAATGGTATGTCATTCGTAAGTTCTATCTTTTAACACAGAACTTACGAACAACGTAGCATTAAGAATGTTTCAAGAAACCGGCCCCTGTTTAGTTATGATTACTGTTATGGTTCTAGGGAAAATCTATTGCAAATTTGTCACTATTATTTAGTAGTTATTAGCAATGGTCATTAATATCTTTTCATGGCACATAATTTCAGTTGGGAGTGAATGGGACAGACGTGCCCATGTTGAGAGCATACATCAGTGTTGAGTTTACAATGTAAGCAATGTAAGTAATCTGCTTAATTATTGTCTCATCAATTAACCCATCTGCCCTGTGTCCTGCGGTGGATTGGGAGGTTGTTAGATTAAAGGGAGAAATCGTAGGGAGACTTCTAGGAAACCTTTAAGGATATTAATTAACAATTGTAGAATTTATTTCATGTTTCTTGACCAAATTGTCCATATATGTGATTTATGTGATGGGATGAGGCAGTGACGTTTTTGGTACCATCATTTTCATTTTAGCCCCATCAGGTCTTACCCTTTTGTCACATACTCTAAACGACTTGGTTAAGTCCTTAGCTAAACCTCCCCTTCAGTCAATTACCTGTTGAGAGAGTAGTTCATGACTCAACGAAGCAAAGCGGGTCCTTTCCAATTAAAACAAGTATAGCAGGGAGGTATTCCAGAATGAGTGTTTGGCTGTAATATAGTTACTCTCTGTTAATGTGCTGTTAAGTATGGAGTGAATGTGTGGTTAGAAGGATTATTTAGACTTGCATATACTGTAACCAGCCTGTGTGCCTACACATCCGAAGTCGTCAGGGTATGAGGATAGAGGATCCCTTTTAATTACAGACGAGTGCTCTTAAGTTCGTTGAGTAGTCATAAATAAACAGCAGAATGACTGTTTATTTCTCGAAAGAGTGCAAGAAATATGAATACGGGCAATTCGATGTGATAACTTTGTGGCATTCAGCCTTTTGCGTGAAGAATGTTCATGTTTGTGTGCAGATGATGTCGCACGTTTGGGGAGTGCTCCTCACGCCCTTGGGGTCCCTATCGGAGATCCCGGTTCCTGTTTGTTTTTGCAGTACCGTTGGCTTGTGGCTTCTCCAAAAAGCTGCTCGTTTTTCTCCAGGCCACCCATCGTGGTGGCATTTCCAAATGTCAACTCCTTCCCGCCGCCCCTTTGCCACTCCGGCCGTTTCCCAGTCTGGCTCCAGGGCTTTGCTGAGTCTCCTGCCATCTGCCCCGTCACCTTCTTCAGGGGGGGGGCAGGGGCGGAGAGAGTGTCTTTTAATGTCCTTATGCAAGAGCTGGCTTTTAATAAGGTTTAACCTTATTGTGAAGGGTGTTTGTTTTACTTGGTCTGGGGACCAAGTGAAGCCTCCACCGACACCTCATCTCAGCCCCCCAACTCCAGGATGCAGTGTCCTAGGGGGACCTCTCCCCTTACCTCCTAGTGTTGCTTTGAGCCCCTCCCTACCCCCTTTGCTTCTCACCCATTCGACTATCCCCCCCCCCCCTCCTCCAAAGCAGGCAGTCTGCCATGATGTCATTCCTGGGAAAGTGAGGTGGGGAGGTATTTAAGGGCCTGGGGCGGCATGGTTCCCAGCCCATTGATTCTGTCAGTCAGGGGCCAGCCTGTCTCCGCTGTGTCTGGGACATCCGATAGGAGCACTTGCAGCTGGGGGAACGGGGGCAGCAAGCCGTGTAAGCCCTTCACAAAGCCTCTCAGAATGGGTCCTGAAAGAGGACACTTTGATGAGGATTAGGCCCTTTACTTTCACCCCCTGGTCTTTTTCTTTCCCACTGTACTCGGACGATAATTACTTAATCGCTAATAAGGGCCAGTGTCATGCCAAAGATCGGCACGTCGGTTTGTCACTGTAGGTCAAGCGGCTGGTTGGGGTTTCTTACCGGGGTGAAGTGTGGCACAGGTTACGGGGAGGGTGCTGACGCGTAATTGCGCATTACTTTTAAAATTTAGTTTAATTCATGTCATTATCCAGATTTACTTAATTACCTGTGCATTGGATGCATTTCTCATTGCTTCATCATGCTGCAATGATGTGCTGCTTGTTTGTTAAAAGTTCAGTTGCTTAAACTGTCTCTCTTGAGGTTAAAGTTAATCTTGTCTTACTTACCCGGGTCACAGCCTTGAACTTTAAGCTATGAACTTTGTAAATTACATCATTGGCCAACGCATTCAGCTGGGTCAAAGTTAGCAAACCAAAAAAAGGCCAAACTTTCCTGTGATTCGATAAAACATTATAATCTATAATAATGAAGAGGCAGGCCTGCCCTGGGATGGGTCCTTGCTCACTGGCCACTGCAGGCCTCACAAGGCCACAGGTAGGTCTTTCTAGCCATTTCCCCACCCATCTTGAGAAGTAACTGCTAAACGCAGCCCCAAAAAGAATCCTTGTATTTCCCTCTGCCATTCCCACATGCACCCCCACCCCCCATAAAGACAGAACTGTTTTCCTTGATCCAAAAGAAAACAGCATTCAGCTGCTTTAACATATACCCCTGTTCATAGGTGGCTCTAGAGCCTGTTTGGGGGGGGGGAGTAAATTAGCTACCCTATTTTATGACTCAGCCCCCTTGAAAAATCATTTTTCTAAAACTTCAGTATTTTTGTACACAATTCATACAAATTTTGTGGTTGGGACCCCCACACACACAAAAACCAAAGACAAACTGTGGGTGCAACCATCTTGAGCAAGACTGACAGGTGGACGGCTCTGCTCACGTTTCAGTCTCTGTTAACAACATCAAGAAAAAATGAAAAAGCCAAGTAGTTTCATTTGATTCTCCTTTCATCACTTCTTGGGAAGAAGCCCCATAAGGCCCAAAATATAAAATAATGTTTTATATATGTCAGAAAAGATTGCTTTATTTGGATCTGTTTTCACTTTAATAGCTTATGATGGATGTCAGATTTACAGAAATCCCTTAATCTAGGCTGATGCTTATCATGTGCTGGTCATGTTCCTCAACTCCCAGTCTGTGCTTGAGCCTGAACTACGGAGTAGCATGAATTCTGTGAAATGTTTCAGCTTTGGAAAGCCATCAGTATGGACAGGCTTGTGAAATTAACCAGACATAATTTGGTTTTTAAAACTTGTCACTACATGACAGATCATGGAGCTGGGGAGCTTCATTCAAATGTGCCATAGTTAGCTAATATACATTAATAATGCCACATTATTTTTGATACAAATAAAGCGAATAACATTACAGAGACAGGAACATTCCAAATTCATGTGTTATTTTTATTATTATTTTTGGTACCGTGCATGGAATTATTCATTGAATTTATGTCCTGTGGAATATATTCTTGATTGATTGCAAGATTTTTCGGTAACACCTTCTATGAATGCTGTGTCTGTAAGAATCTATGAACACATTCATAACACATAATAATGCATTCATAAAGCATTGTGAACATGACTATAATAAATATTTACAAAAAGGCATAATACATTATAGCCATGTTTATTATGCATTATGACTGCCTTATGAAGCCTCATCTATAATGCACCATAGATACCTTTATAATGCAATACAAAGCATGCTTAATACTTATACCGACCATTGTAATACATTACACAGGTATCTTTAGTGCATTATAGATGAGAGATTCATTGGAGTTTATGAAGTATTATACTCATCACTTATGACAGCTTTAAGTAAAGTGTTAATTTTAAAATATATATATATATATCTCCATTTGTGTGTGTGTGTGCATGTGTAGATACACAAATATATGTATATGTGTGTGTGTGACAGTGATTGTTGTCTGCTGTTTTATTTACTCTAATTTAATCTGTTATTCTAATTTTTAATGCAAAAATGTAATTGGCGCATGAGTATTCTCCAGCTGCAGACCTGAGGGTCCCAGCCCAGGTTCCCCCCGTATGGCTCCCCGCCCCAGCTGCCCATCTAACCTACCACACACACAGAAAGAGCGAACAACCCGCACACTGTCATTTGTAAGGGGAGCAGGTGTTATTTTCTGCTTGGGCTCTCGTTAGCTCTTTGCCTTTTTATGATGAGTGGAAAGCAGAATAATCCCCTGGAGATTTCATAATAAATTTTATGACTTGCTTTCTCACAAGTCTCCACTAGCATGGAATGTGTGTAAGATACGTGTGTAAATATTTAAACAATGTTTATGCTGTGGCTGCTTTACAGTGGGAGAGGAGAGATATTATTATGGCAATATATTTATGCTATTCAGATGTTTATCTTGGTCTTCATTTCCATACAAATTAACTTTATGGTACGGCCGAACAGATGATGGCGCAAGCAATCCCCCAGTAATCCGACTGGGATCTGAATGGGATCTCATTCGACAGCCATTTTCAGATCAAACAAGAGGCTTAATTGATAAGCCTAAATGTCCAACAAAATGTGTGGTGTTATTAACTACATGGCCGCGTTTAAAGACATTCAACCCTTATGCTGTATTTGCTTGCTGTCTGTCTGTCC